TTAAAATCACTGTTAGTTTTTAAAACTTGTAAATATTATAGCAGACAGAAATTGATTTGAGTTGGAGAGAGTGAAAGGCAGTGTTAACCTTTGTTATGAGATATACGTACTAAATAGGATATGGGTCTCCAATCCTTTATTGGGCTGGATCTACTTCTCAATTTCAATTCTGAGTACAAGTAAATAGATCTTCCTGAACTTGTGGAGTGTATCCCCTGTACATGTCCCCATGCAAGTTATGCTGCTGTTTTGGTGATAAACATTTTGGACTCACTGTCAGTGCCAAACTAGAAATTTACCCTGTATCTTCAGCAGGTGGAACAAGTTGTCTTGTGACCCACCGATGGGTAACAGTATTGGAGAGGGTGGTAACTGGTGCTTTCTCAGTTCTCTTTATCCCTATTATCACATACACATATGAAACTTGTTATTATAGCATCTTGTTTTCTGGCTTTGAAGCACTATCAAAAGTAAGTTACCATTACGCTCACATAAAAAGGATGTGTGCGCTTTCTCAGGAGCGTAGGACAATTCAGCTCTCAGAGACATCACTTTTCCATCAAAGCATGTCCTTCATTGTGCATGTATAAAAATATTTGCACAGAGCGGGCATACCCTGTTATTTTTTGTCATTAGCTGCAGTTGATTGATAATTGATTAGGGATATCTCCTTTTTCTGCCCCTTGGTTGCAATTCTACTTGTCAAGGGCTTGTAAAATTAAGTGGCCTGAGTAAATTACCAGATAAGGTTTTTTTTTTCCTCCGGTACACACTTTGCCATCACAGATCTATGAATCCAAATTATGGAGAATATGCTATTGGCAGTCTTCGCAGTGAGGCTAAGTGGGCATAGAACACAAACTGCGATCCCTTTTCTGGAGTTAGTTTTTCCAAAATAGACCCGTGACAGTAGTAGATAATTAATAATGCATTAAGAGAACATTTACCTGTGGGACTGCAAATTGTTTGGCTTCCTGCCCTGCATCCCCTCTTCTGTGGTCTCTCATCTAAGAATGTCAGCAAAGTTTCTTTTGTAGTAACAACTTTGGAAAGGAGAAATTTTTGTTTATTTATTTTTTAAATTTGTAGAGCCACCTATGATAAATAAATTCTAAAAAGAAATGTCTAGCTTTCTAGGCATTTATTTGTATCCCTCCTGGTATTCAGCTTGGTGCCTTCAGTCCTGCCTTGTTTCTCTGGGCAATCTGATACTCT